GTGGCATCCTGACGATGCACCCAATCCTGCTGGTTCCTGCTTCCAAACACACCCCCCCTGTCTCCCATCCAGTTGCCCACCCGCTCTTGCGGTCATTGCGTACCTGCACTGTTCCTATGGCCTCCCCAGCTGGTCCCCCTGCGTCTCTTCTGCTCCCTCTACAGACAGCTCTCCAGATTCACCAGAATAATTCATTTACACATTCCAGTCACTGTAATTTCACTCCTGTTCAAAATCCTCCAAAACGTCCCATTTCGCTGGGAGTAAAAAGTCACAGTCTTTAAAGGGGCCCACAGAACTTTATCTCTAGGACCTAGCCCTGACTGTGCTTACAACTTCCTTTCCTACTGTTTTTTGGTGCAATGGGCTCCTTGAATGCCCTTAAATGCCAGAAGCCCGTCTCAGGGTCTTTGCTACTAGCCCCTCTGCCTGGAATACTGCTCCCTCAGACAGCTGCCTGGGTCACTTAAGGCCACGCTCACCTGTTACCGTTTTAGGATACCCTCCCTGGGCTACACAGTGTAGAACACGAACCACTAGAGAGCAGGGTGGCTGAATGCAACATCAGACATTCATCCCATGGAAAACTAGGTAGCTGTAAAAAAAGAATGACAACAGGGGCGCCTGGGTGGCTCAGTGGGTTAAACCCTCTGCCTTTGGCTCAGGTCATGATTCCGGGGTCCTGGGATCGAGCCCCACATCGGGCTCTCTGTGAAGCAGAGAGCCTGCTTCCCTTCCTGCCTCTCTGCCTACTTGTGATCTCTGTCAAATAAATAAATAAAATCTTTAAAAAAAAAAAAAAAAAAGAATGACGATGATCTCTATGAACGATATGGAATGATTATCCAGACATATGGTTAAGAGACAAAAGCAAGGTAGAAAAGGGTATATTGAGAATGTTACTATTGTTACTGTTTTTGCATCAAACATTTGTATCCACAAAAAGAAGCAAGGATAAAACAGAAACAAACAGTACCTGTTATGACAGGGAGAGGGTGGGAACAGGATTTCTCTGAGCATATCTCTATATGGTTTGACTGGCATCATATTAATATTTCACCTACTTAAAAATTAAATCAAGGGGGAACCCTAAAACTGAATAGAAACAAACTAATGCAACTATATATTGCGTTGATAGCATAACCACCCAGAAGAAAAAAATTAATCCAAGTAACTTTTTTTTTTTTAAGATTTTATTTATTTGTGAGAGAGAGAGAGAGGGAGAGAGAGCAAGCACAGGCAGACAGAATGGCAGGCAGAGGCAGAGGGAGAAGCAGGCTCCCTGCTGAGCAAGGAGCCCGATGTGGGACTCGATCCCAGGATGCTGGGATCATGACCTGAGCCGAAGGCAGCTGCTTAACCAACTGAGCCACCCAGGTGTCCCAATCCAAGTAACTTTTAAAAAGACAGTATTCTGTACATATTCAGAGGGATATATGGATGAATAAAAAGAATCGTGAAGAAACTCCGAACTGTAAAGTTTGTGCTCGGTAGTGGTACTGGTAGAGTAGTGAGGAAACTATTTTGTGTTTAATGCATATTAGGAAAACATAGTGATGCTATGAGGAATAGCGTTCTCACTGTGGCAAAGGGAGATACGAATAAGGAATGGAGGAAGAGAAAGATGAACCAAATTATTGAATGAGGCTTAGTGGTAACAGGATAAACTCAGGACCTTGTGAAAACTTTCCCAGCTCTGAGAACTGACAGCCTAGAAACAAAGACTCCAGTAGCCTTAAGCACACCTAATACCCAGATACTGATTTCTAAATCCCATCTCCCACTAAAAGGAACAAGAGACTCTAATGTTTACAGGCTGAAGCAGGAAAAGGGTACAAAATGAGTCCAAGACATGCTTCTGTGCCAGAAAGTAGGAAGTTCTCAAAAACTGATGGAAACATGGGAAAGAACATGGAAGCACACAGGGGTTCCCATTTGCCAAAATCTGGATCACCGAGCATCAAAAGAGTTGACAAAAAAATGCCATCTTAAAAAATACCCATGGGTCCATACTCAAACTAAAAAAAAAAAAAAAAAAAAAAAAAAAAATTAAAATAAAAAGGAGGAGCAAAAGCTCTTCATTACTCAAGAATGTCAATGATGTATAAAGAAAAATAGGGATAGAAAATTGCCATCCACAAATATTTTAGTAGACTTGGAGAAGAATCACCACTGGATGCTAAAACAGCTAGAAGACTGCATGAAAGATTGTTTTGGAACAGGACAGTTACACAATCTCAAATGTCACCTGATAAATCACGTATTATTTACAAAGGGGAACAGGTGCCTCTGTGATAGAGAAATCTAGTGGATCAACTTAACCAAATAACCAAAGTTCTCCAATAATGGGACAAATAGGACTGCATCTGCTCTCTATTGAGATGCACGGAGAAGGACACGACACATCTATGGGACATTCCTGCAAGTTTTAACCAGAATCTAATCATGAGGAAACAGACCATCCAAATCTAGGGACACTATAAAACTGGCCCAGACCTTTCAAAAATGGTGATGTCATAAAGTACAAAAAAAAAAAAAAAAAGAGTTGGCAAGTTTTAGATTAAAAGGTATTAAAGAGGCACGACTAACCAAATGCAGTGTGTGATCCAGGATCAGCTTCTGGACTCTATCAGCAAACAGTATCATACTGATGGTATATCTCCTGACTGTGATCATGGTTTCATGGATTCCAGGAGACATACGTTTTTAAAAGACATATGTTGAAATGTTTACAGGTAAGGTGTCATAAGATCTGCAATTCTCAAATGTTTAGACAAAAAAAAATTATGTGTGTAAACAGAAGTAAACCAAATGTGTCAAAATTTTAATAACTGGGGATTCCAGGAGAAAAGTATGTATGTGTTCATCATACTATTTTTTCCAACTATTCTAAAGATTTCTGATGTTGCAAAGTTTTAAAGAAGGAAAAAGAAATATCAACCATGCCTACTCCCCTTTCCTCTGTATTACCAATCTCCGTATTAGTGTTTACTTCACCACCACCTAACATCTATATATTTACTCATTTATTCATTTGCTGTCTCTCTTCCCCACTATAATGTAAGCTTCACAAAAGCAGGGAAGTCTGTCCCTTGTTGTAACCCCAGTCCCTTGTATCGTGCCCAACACATAGCTGACTCTCAGTAAGAATGTGTTCAGTGATTCATGTTCACATTCTAGGAAGTATATACTCTCATTACCTTTCCTCACCAGTGAGTGATACTCTGTCTCTCTTTCAAGGCCAAGATAGTGAGGCTTGCAGAAGTTAGGCAATTTACGGAAATTATAACTCAGGTGAGGAGCAGGGCCAGGGTGGGAAGCCAAGCATCTGACTTCAGAGCTGATGCTCTTAATCACTGGTGGGCAGCTTCCCATTGAGACAGGCTCCACCTGTAGGTGCATCTGCCCCTTTCGCACAGCCATCAGCATAGGAAAGTCGGGGGGGGGGGTTTCCTGTGATGGCATCCCCCCCGTGACAGCATCCTTGCCTCCAATGACTCCCGGCTGCAATCCTTCCTCCATACCGCTGCCAGATTATTCCTCCTAAGCACATGGTTCTGATTCTGTGAGGCCCAGAAAGAATTCTCCTTTGCCTGCAGAAGATAATCCAGACTCCCATCCGGGATGTGTAGAGCTCTGCAGCAGGGCCTCCAGGTCCCACGGGCACACTTAGGCTCTAGGGACACCAAAGGATTCTCAACTGCCCAGGTTCACCCTGTACACTGCTCCCCTGTCTTTTTCACCTCTTGGAATTTTTCCCACATCATAGCAGGTCCACACACCATCTATCCTCCAAGGCCAGGTTCAAATACCCTCCCTTCCATGAAGTCTTTGTTTCACAAGACAGACTTGATTCCACAGAAGACACTGCTCCCTTCCCTGTAAACGCCCATAGCACTTTATGCTCAGCCTGTCTTACAGCATTTACTTCTGTGTCTTAGAATGTAGGCACTTCGCGATCTCTCAACCCCTCTGCGCTAGGCAGTCTCCAAAGACACGTACCCCATAGACACTCAATGGGAGCTGAGTGCAGAATGAGGATGGAAGATTGACTTATTGTATGTGCAAAGGGGCCCCCAACGGGAAACCCTCAAGGAAAGAAGAACTAGTTAAGCGTTTATTATTACGCTTCAGAGGTTTGGCTACGGCTGTGTGTGTAGGGGTTTATAAAGGTGGGGAGATAAAAATGGAGACATAAATATTTCATGGGGCTGTTAACTTAGCTGAAGAAATGGGAAAGGGTTGAACGCAGTTCTACACGCACAGATTTCTTTTACATTTTCAGGGGAGGGGAAAGGAGCACCAGCCGCCCTGCTTCGGAATCCTGAGGCGATTCAGTCATTATTCTTGGTGGGTCCCTGTCCCAGGTCGGGTACCCTTCCCGCAGGAGCTCAACTCAAAGGCTGCGCGGCGTCGGAGGAGAGGGGACCAGAAGGGGAACCAATCGGCAGTCGCCGCTCCTGAGCCCCACCCGGCGCGCCGCGGATAAGCCGAGTTCTTTGGTAGGTCCAGCCGACGGGACCGGTCCTGGGTGAGTTTACCCGTTGCGGAAGAAGTGAAAGGCCCGTCCCAGTGCTAGGCGACGGTACCCCGGGGGTGGGGGTGGGGGGCAACAAGTGGTTTCGCAGTCACTGGAACCCCAGCAAAGGCACACCCTTCCGGAGGAACACCCAGTGGGGAGGTGAAAGGGCTTGGGGGAGATGGGGACTAAGGATTCTAAAAAGAAAAAACCACCGGAAAAGTGAGCTAGCCACAGTCCCATCCCTCTTCCAAAGGCGGATTCCGGTGCCTAAGGTCAAAGTTGCTTCCCGACTACCCACGGGAGACTTGTTGAAGTGACAACTCTGCCCGACAAGGTCCCGCGGGCTGAGTTTCTTCTCCCCAACCCAGCCGTGGCCGCCTCGAGCCCCGCCCGTCCACCCAGCTCCGGAGCCCTGACGCCATCGACACCCCCAGCGCTGCCCAGTCCCCGCCAGGGCACGGGGAAGGCCCCCACTCACCGAACTGGAGCGCCAGGAAGACCACGCCAAGGACCCCCGCGGCCCAGCAACACGCACTCCCTGCGGTCATGGCGCGTCCGGCTGGCCTCTAAGGCCCTACTGCGCAGAGCGCACCCTGGTAATTTCGCTAGCAGCTTCCCGCGGCCCCGCCCCCCGGGCTCCCCGCTGTACCAGCCCCGCCCGCTCTGGCCCCGCCTCGTCTCTCTAACCCCGTTTCCTGTCCACCCTGTTCCCAGAGTTTTTGTGCTGCCTCTCGTCTGCTCGTTGGAGCCCTTCCATCAAAGTGGCTTGCGTTTTAAAAGCCAGGCTTCTCTTCGTTCCTCCCGCTGCTCCAGCACTTTTCCTGGACGTCTGGGACGCGATGGAGGCAACTTTGTAACTGGGGGGAGGGGAAGCTGCGTTCCATTCGGCAGGCCGGTACGGGGACCGGAGAACTCTGCCGCAGGACCGGGCGGCTCTGAAGCACTTCTTCCGCGCTTTCCTCCAGCAGCAGCCGCAGCAGCGCGGAGCTTGCTTCTCTGCCGCTGTCCTGGAATATTAAAATATAAGGAAACGGGACATTTGGGGCAACTGCTAGAACGTGCGGGATCACCTGATGCCCCCGGTCCCACCTCTCTTATTCAAGTTCAGGCCACCTTTTCCTTAAGCCTGCCCGCCCCCGCCCCCACCCCAACCTTCCCTTTCCCCGGAGCTGGGACTTCAGGCCTTGGGTTTCTCCCTTCTCAGTTTCCTCTTTGTTTTCCTCCTCCTCCATCTCAGCTGTGGACCTTCCCTTAGGCTGAGGAGCCAGGTCTGGTCGGGTCTAGTCGCCCCTTCACTGTTCGGCCTCCTCCCAAACCACCGGCCTCAGATGCAAAAGGCACTTGGAACATTCCATCCTAGTGATTAGTTTTTTGTTTTTAAGATTGTATGCATGTATGTATTATTTATTTGAAAGAGAGAAAGAGAGAGCGCGAACCGGGAGAGGGGCAGAGGGAGAAGCTGAGAAGGATGCCGGACTTGGGGCTCCATCCCATGACCTAAGCCAAAGGCGGACAGGCGCTTATCCCACCGCGCCACCCAAGCGCCCTATTGGTCATTCTTCTTGATTGGCTTGTTCTCGCTCAAATCTGTCTGACCCCAGACCAGAGGACTCGGAGAACCAGCTCCTCACGTGGCTTCCCTGTCTTCCCCCGTTCCTAGAGAGGCACATGAATTGCCCCCGCCCAGCTGCGGGAACTAAGGGAACTCTAAACCTCTTCTGGTGAACAGGACACCCTGCTGTCCTAATAAACACCAGCGTGTCAGTTTAGAAACGGAGTGGAAATGTGCTTTATTGTTGCTGTCTTCTCCATCATCCTCAAATGAGGATCCCAAAACCACTCAAGACAGTTGAACTATACTGTAAGAATTCATTAGTTCTTAAGTCAAGCATAAAATCTTAAAAGGTATCTGGGCGGCTCAGTCGGTTAAGCACCTGACTCTTGATCTCAGCTCAGGTCTTGATCTCAGGGCTGTGAGTTCAAGCCCTGTGTTAGACTCCACACTGGGTGGGGAGCCTACTTTAAAAACAAAACAAAACAAACAACAACAACAAAAAAAAACCCTTAAATCTTAAAAGGCATCCCTATCAATGAAATTTCTGGGACCAATGTCATGTACCAGGAAGCATCCTACCCGAAGACATTCCCTATCAACTGTAGATACTCGGAACATGAGGAAGGTGCAATGTATAGCACAAAATGTGAGAAAATACATTTCTGCTCTGCCCTGGGCTGGTGGGAACTCAGGCCAACTGAAAAAGGTAGGCTGAGGTCAAACTTTTAGACTGGAGAGCTTCTGAATGTTTTTGAACTGAGAAGGGATATAACAGCAAACATCTGCTGAGCACTTACTAAACCAGGCCTTGTGTTAAGTCCATCACCTGAACTAACTTAATCTTGCTGCCCCTATTTTCACAGAAGAGGAAACAGATACTCAGAAAGGGTAACTGACTTGCCCAAGGACACACAGTAAGGGGCAGCACGGGCAGTACAGCTGAAGCTAAATCTAAAACACCACTCTCACCCTCTCATACAGAAACAGCCATGCTATGGACTGGACTGGCCAGCAGATGCTGTCAGTCCAGCAGGGCTGTGGAAAAGTCTGCCCAGTCACGTGGGGCTGGGAAGTATGCCTCAGGTCATGGCCTCCAGCCTTTGGGTAAGGAATGATTCATTAGGTCTTCTTTGGTTAGATGTTCCTCTGACCAAGTCCAACAAGCAGTGCCAGCTTTCTCATTAAGAGAAATGCTATGCTTCTATCAAGCCATTTTGGGGGAAATATTTATTTCACACCCAATGTGGGGCTTGAACCCAAAACCCCAAGATTAAGGGCCTCATGCTCTACTAACTGAGCCAGCCAGGCGCTCCTTCTACGCGTGGTCTAGCAGACTTCATGAGTTGTAAAGACCTATTTTATATTTTTATTTTAGCCAGAGGCTTCCATTGAGGTTAAACAATAACTTTGTTGTTTAACCCTTAAACTGTCCCTGCTCCCCTTTCCCCAGGGCACTTAAAAACAAGTCCCAGAAAACAAGCTCCAGGTGTGAAGGCCAAGAAAAACAAGGCTGTACCCCCCTCGAGTCTAGCCTGACATAAGTACAGCCATCATGGCAAAGCAAAAGCGGGCACCTTGCACTGTAAGAGTAGGTTAGCGTTAAGAATGGCCATCCTGAAGGCCCAGAAGCCATTTTACTGAGCGTCCCTAACCAGCCCACAGGGCGTACGTGACTTGAGATAAGAGAAAGTAGCTAAAACCTAAGAAACAACTTAATCATATACCACCAGGGCGGTTAGGTGGTGGTGCCACAGGGACCAAATGTTAAAGAAAAGCAAATAGTTAACTTGCAGAGATCACAGTCGCGCAAGTCAGGAGTCTCCCTTGGTTTGCAAATGTCCTGGTGATTTACAACAAAAAGGGCTATCTCTTCAATGGCCCAATTTCCAGAGACAAAGGGCTCAGTTCCTCAAGGCCTAAGGTTGCACCATAAAACTGAAGGAGGCTGAGGCAGAAGGAAATGTAAATAAAGTTAAATTTCTTCTAAACCTAAATCTCACTTAACCGCCAGGATGGCGCCAGGGTGACGCCGGGGTGGCAAAAGGTTAAACAAAGTTAAACTGTCAAAGTGGGGCGCAAGATATGTATGTAGCCATGAAGAAGTGCCTTGAAAATGCTGTATAAACCCTTGGCTTTGAGTGCTCGGGGTCCTTGTGGAAACCCACTGCACCGGGCGGATACTTGGACCCCAGCTAGCTGGAAATAAACCTCGCTGTGCGACTTGCATTATCGAGAGTGTTCTCTAATTGAGGGGTCGTTAGGTACCCCTTAGGTGTTAGGTACCCTAACAGAGTCAAAGGTGGCTCTGAAAGGTGGACCTGAGTTAGGCAATGGGCCCAAAAGGCTCTATTCGTATACTGAAGACATGCCCCCAAAAGGAGAGCGGATGTATTTTTCATCCGGTGCCAGTAGTGAGGACCAGTCACATCTGCTTATCACTGCAGATAAATCATGAACGAGAGGGAAGAAAGGAGGGCTCATCCAGCCTGCTCACGTGGCATGGGGTTGCTGCTCTTCCTAGCACATCCCTCTGGTTCTTTGGCTCTAGTTCTTGCCTATCTTGGAACTACGCCCCCAGGAAGCTTAGAAATCCCAGAACGAGCTGAGCAAAACACTGCTCCCAATCTTACATACATGGAAATTGTCCCAGCCTCTTGTGGAAATGTACATTTTCACTCATATAAATACTGGGCAGATTTGCACCAAAGGCATGGATGGGTAATCTTCTTCCACAATACTCCATTTCCCTTTTTAAAATGCGCCTTGGCAGAAAGAGAGCATTTGGTAGAAAAATTAGGCAAAAGTAATGCGTAAGACATAACATGGAACCATTCTGGGTACCCAAGGGATAAACAATCCCATTTCAACTCCTGGCCAGGCCAGCAGCTGCAAGAAGTTGATAAGGACGCAGCAGATGGGGCTGCGAAGCTGAGGAACGCGTGCATTAAAGCCTTTGAAAGGTCTGATTTTTTTTTTTTTTAAAGAGAAAAGGAAGCACCTCCCTCTGCTTTTTACCCGTTATCTAGTTTCTTTTGCATAGTCAGTGCAATGTACAAAATTACAGATGGGTTTTGCCGAATCATGTGTCACTGCTATGGTTTTAATCATTCTATCATTCTCACTTTGCCGAAGTGGTGAACTCCTCGGTACCATCCCAGTGTTCGAGTGGTGTGGGGAATGTGGACTGGTGTGCTGTGTGGAAGGGCACCCTGAGCAGGAAAACACAGCTCCTGCTCGGCTCCTGCCTCCCAGAAAATGCTTGCTGATAAGTCCACGGTCGATGGGGGACAACACTCCATCCTTTGAGAAAGGCGGTGTGGTCTTGTTGTGGAGACTCTCTGTAGCCAAGGGGAAGTTGTTCCCCCATTCCTGTGCTCCATCAGTCTCCTCCTACCCCTTCCTGTCCCCCCCCCCAAAAAAAGGAAAGCTGGTTAGGGAGCTCTACTTGTGAACCTACCTATTAGGCCTCCAGGTGTGTGGTGCCTGTGCAGATCTGGGGGCAACATGGCCTTGACAATCAGGGTAACTGTGTACATGTACTATGATTCATCTTTAGCAGTTGACAATAAAGCATCTTGGGAAAGGTCCCCTCCCCCCCATCATCTGTATGAGGCACTCTTCAGGCTGGGGGCAGGGTGGGGTAATTAAGGTTACAATGCTTGACCCTTGAGCCTAGCAGGCCAACACCAGGGGCAGAACACCACACCTCCAGGGCCCAGTTTCAGAGGAGAGAGGCAGTTTAAGAGAAAGGAGGACAATGGGCTCCAGTAACTGTAAACAGCCGTATTTTCAACATAATTTACTACAGGTCTCTGAAGTGTATATAAAACATTTTAGTGCAACATTTTACAAATAGTTTTCCTTTAAAAAAAAACAAAAAACAAAAAATCCCAAAAACAAATCAACAGCTCTCTACATCATGCATGGGTAGTTTTCTTACCCTACCTGTTTTGTCAACAATAAACGCAGAGAAACCATTGTTTGAAAAGAATATGAAAACCTGCTACAGAGACACCCTGATGAAGGAGGGTGTGGTTATATCAGTATCCTGGGATGGGCCTAGCACAGTGTAGTTTTTCATGAATGCAACATTGTAGCTGTAGATAAGTCAAGAGAACAGCTGGTAGTTTTCCTCTCCGGGTCCTCGGCCTAGAACTCCCATAGGCCGTGTGCAATGAGGTCTCCAGCCACTGGAGGGCACCATTACCACTCATCTGACACCACATTTCCGTAGAAATGGCCAAACAAGGTCCTGGGTATTTTTCGAAAAAGCTGAAATGCTCACCCTTTGATGGTAGCCCCCAGCCCAAGAGAAAATATACAGGGGGAAAAAGAAAAGAAAAACCCAATTATTAAAATACTGGCTTCGGTTTCTTTTCTTCCTTTTAAATTTCCTGCAACTGCTTCACATTATTTAATTTGTATGTTACCTACTTTTCTATAGCTGAGAACCAATGCATAGTCAACTCTTCTCTGTCGTTTATACTCCCAGTTCCACCCAGCCCTCTGGAATCTTCCCCTTCTCACAGAGGAGAAAGTAAGTCATCTTCCCTCACTGACTCAGGCTACAAATGAGGGGCTAATTTTCCCACAGAAAGCCCACATGGCTGAAAGGAAGAAATAGGGCCAAGGACTGTCTTCTTCCCTCACTGCTGAGCCGGCTGACTACCTCCAAAGTGTTGACGCAGCCTGCTTCATAAATGAGAATGAGCACATCGGGCTACGGGGAGCTGAAGGGGTGGTGCCTACACATGGCCCCATAGGAGAGCACTGGAGTCGGGGGGAGGAAAGGGAGGCAGGCTTCCCCTCAGCTGAGCACCTGTGCCACCCGCAACCCCACGGACCCCGAGACGGACTGGCACCCACGTGGCCTCCTGCCACGTCTGTTCAGCCTCAGAACAGACGATAATCTCTCTGGTTAGACTTAGCTCCAGAGTCCCTGGTGGCTTTTTCTAAACTGGGAATTCCCTTGGGATTCAAGATGCACGCTCAAGAGGAGAGGAGACGGCGCTCTTGGCCAGCAAAACAGAGGAGCCCAGGGCATAAGCACTCCTCCCATGGAGTGGGCAAAAGGCAACACTTGTAAACCAGGACGGGGGTCCAGGGGAGCCAAGCACACTGCCCCGGGATATAAAGGAACAGGTGACACTGGCCTTGTTGGGCTTTGGTGGGCATTCGAATGAGACGCCACCATAACAACAAATAACCAAATCACCAAAACCACAAACAAGATCCAAGAAGGGGAAGGGCAAAAAGCCACACCCAGGCCTGTGATGACTTCCCACTGAGACAAGGTCCTCTGATGGGTCACAAAAGGGTTGTGTCTGGACCTCTCCTGGGCAGATAGATATTCTTACGGCAGTAAGACACAGGGGGAGAGAAATGGTGGATAAGAAAGACAGGGCTCTCTCTGAGGAAACTAACTGCAGGCAAGAAGAAAAAACTAGTCTTCATACCTCCATCGCAGCAGTTACAGCTCCCCTGGTCTCCAAGGTCAGACTCCCTCCAAGGTCAGACTCCGGAAACCACCTGGTCCCACCCTGACCCTTGCAGGAACTTAGCCGTCAGCCTGCCCCGTGCCCCCTCCAGGTATACGGTGTCCTGTGGTAGCTGCTTGGGCCCTGATGTGTTCAGCTCAGACTGTCCCCTTTTCAGGCTCCCTGGCCACTTTCCCTTAAGAGTTTGGCAAAGCACCTTAGAATGGAAGCCCACCCGCTCACAGTTATCAGTTAAGAGACTGCTTGTGCAGAACAGATCGAGCCAACAACTAGTCCTTTCTCCTTCCTTTGCTCATCACTGGCTTTGACCAATCCGAAAGTCAGGAGCTGCTAAACGTAGCCCTCTCCCCACTTTAGCTGGCAAAATGTGTGCCATTTGGAGCTTCTGACTTCCTCTCCAACAAAGTGGGGGTTTTGTGTTGTTTTTGTTTGTTTTTGTTTTTGTTTTTTTGGCAAGCTTGGGATGAAGCCTATTTTTCGCCTCCCTGACAGGCTGGTTGGGTACCATCTACTCCTAATGGGGTTATGCTGGATTTCTCCTGTATGTACACAGTTCTTCGAAGCAAATTCAATGCTTTCATCTTGACTACAAAGGGGTTCCAACCACTCCAGCTGAGGGAAACGATAAGATACAAATTGGGCCCACACTACACATAATTTTCAAGTCTCATTAAGAAAGTAAAAAACGCTCGGGCGGGTTCTGATCCATGGGTAGCATTTTCAAGTATGCAAAAACAATAAGTCTTGGAAGAGATTCCTTTGCGCCAGAAAGTTCATCCTTCCTTTTGCCATCAGTGGTACTTTAAGAGAAATTCGTATGTCACATTACGGAATGCAAAAAGGATAAACTGAAGGGATTTAAAAAGAGTCCATTACAAAGAATAAGAACCCCTGTAACATCTATCTGGGAATACTCTATAAATCAGTGAGTAGACGTGGCACCTGGAGCTACTCACTACATTACCGGAAACAAAAACAAGGAGCCTAATTCTGCAGGATAAGGACTTCTGCTCCAGAACAGCTAACCAACCAGGACTGCCACCTCAAGGCAGTCTGTCTCTGTGACTGATCGGGGACTTCGAACGCTTCTCAAGTCTGACAGTTTTCGGCGCGAGCACTCCAGGGGTTGGGTGGCGTCCACTGCACGATCACAGAGCAAGAGGCAGGAAGGCAGAGTCTCAGCTCCTCCTCGGCTGAGGTCTGCTGGGCTCCCCTTAGTCTATGGCTCCTGGGTGGATGCTGAGCACTGGGGGCTCCAGGCAAGTGGGGGAGTAGTTGAGGTGTGGCTCTTTGATCCACAACAGGGGCACCCCGTTCTTCCCGTCCGAGTTCTTGCTGGAGTTGCGGCTCTTGAAGCGTACCAGCAGGATGGTGATGATGAGGATGCCAAAGATGGGGAAAGGGTAGAAGAAGACGAAGTAGAAAAGGGCGTCATTGGAGCAGATGATGGACTGCAGGGTGGAACCTGGAACAGAGGCAAGACCGTGAGGGCTGGGAGCCTGGACCTCTGGTCCTCGCTCCTGGAAGCCCTCGCCCAGTCCGACCCAGCTCCCGCACCCACCCTGTCTTTTCCCAGCTGCTATGAAGAGAGGAGAGACCACCCCCCTAGCCTTGCTCTCCCAGCAGTGCCTCTTCCCATTCACAGCTGGAAGTTCATTCAAAGCAATGACTCTGTCTCCAGCAGGGAGCCAGTACTGACTGCCTGGAGAGCCACAGAACCAAATGCGGTTTATTGATTGTGAGCCCATAGGGATAGTGGAGCAGCTGAAAGTTCTCACCACCTGCCCGGTGAGAACTTTACACGTCCCTCTGGACTCAGTTCTGCTCCAAATGTCCTTCTTTGGGAAGGACACGTTCTCTCCCCACCTCCCAGCTTCTGAAAGCAGTTTTACTGGAAATGATGCTTACTCACTTAACATTATCAAGTGAAATGCCATTACGGACCATTTACCAATGTCCACAGTGTGTGTGTGTGGCTGTAAGGAATTCAGTGCTAGTTATTCCTGGATGTGGAAGGTAATGAAACCCGCTCCCCCACGCCCCAGACCCAACCGAGGTCTGCTCTGGTGTACGAGACCTCAGCAGCGGACCATTTTCTCTGGAAAACAGGGTTGCTGGATGACCTCTATGTGCTATGAAACTTAATAAATAGGAACATCCACAGTGGGAAGATAAAATGTGGACTAAACACCTTTGCTTGTACTTTGGGGTTATTCAGTGGATTATGAGGGGGTCTGAGTATGATTTAGGCTTTTCTCTGCTTCCCTTTCTACTGCATAGCCATTGCTCAGTGTTATTAAGAAAATTCAACACACACTCATACTTGTTAGATTTCCAAAGCATATGAAATTGCTGATAGCCACCCACTTTCGACCTACAAAACCTTAATTTCATATGGTTCCATCTCCCAAACAGGAGGTAGTCAAAGAAAAGAAAAAGCTGACAAGACGAAAAAACCTCAAATCAAAATTACCCAGTACAATGTTTTGGCTGAAACGGAAAAGAGGTTATGGTTTCCCGCAGATTTTTTATTTGTGCATTGCAGGCCAGTTCTATGATGACACACGCCATCTTCTGTCTGCTCTATGCCACACTTGGACAGGAGGGCAACTTAAAAGAGAGACTTGCGAGAACAAATCATTCAGGCCAGCAATGATTTCTTCCAGTCTCTGGCCTTGGAGTCCCTTGATCTGATGAGAAGTCTGAGCTCTGGACCTTTCTGGAGCAGTTGATGGTGAGCAAGTGCCTACAGTATCACTGGTCATCCCAACCACTCATGCAACATCCAGCTCCACCCCCAAGTCACCCTCCAAAACACACGTGAGCCAGGAACTTGAGAAAAACAGAGCAGCAATGTACTCGGGCTTCATTTTGTGTCCTTCTGAGTCTGAAACACGCTAACTGGCTAGAGCAGGACTAGGTGAGATATTCTGAAGAGCGACACCATAATGTCGCTTGGGTACCTGGATAATGAAATGTTACCAAAAGGGAATCTGGTGGAACATCCAGTTGATTAGGAAGATTACTAGACGGTATGTTCCCACTCTAACTCCTATCCTCAACTGAGGGTCAACTATACGAACCGGTATGGCAAAGCCAAAATGCCCTTGACAGGTGGGAAAACTGTTTTGTAACCCCATAATCAAGTTCTGATTTTATTCTTCCAGACCGCTGGAGTCACCAGCTGGAACCAACGGTTGGAACCAGCAGAGACATCCTTCCCCTGTAACCTGGGCCAACTCACTTGTGTCCAGAACCCGGATGCCGATGGGGGCCGACTCCTCCTCCGTCAGCCGGTACCACTCCTTCTGAGGGCTGGGCAGCCACTCCTCCACGCGGCAGGAGTAGTTCCCAGTGTCCTGGGGGCTCGCCTGAAGCACGGTGAGCCGGTAGAGCAGCGGGGAGAGCCTCTGGAAGCGAAGCCTGCCCTCCCAGGGGCTGCCTTCTGGGCCAAAGACGGCATCTGGGCCCACGCTCAGCAGGGCCATCCGCTCCATTTGGTCCTCCTCTTCCTCCTCGTCCCCTTCCTCCTCCTGTTCACCCAGGCCAGGGCCGTCCCTTTCCCCTCCGGCTTTAGTCCTCAGAGAGTACCAGGCCACGGCGAAGCGGGAGTCCTGACTCGACCGAGACACAATGCTGCAGTCCAGCTGGAAAGCTGCCTTCTCGGACACTGTGGCGTTGGGGACCACCGTGTCCACCTGCAGGGCAGCGTCTGGGAGGGTGGGGGGCAAAAAAGGAAGAGGAGGTTGTTTTAATTTCTTTGCTCAAAATAACCTGAATGTCCATCACCAAATACACTGTAGTAACACAGTAATACTATACAACACACACCTATTGAAAGGAGCAAGGTGGTGCCGTGTGCCCGGCGTGGGGGAAGGAGACTCCAGAAAGATTGCTAGGCTCTAGAACACTGTGTACTCTACAGGTCACTGTATGCAGAAGAAAATATATTTTATTTCGACACATGTATCTGTTTATGTTTGCTTCGAATATCCGCAGAATTCACAAGAAGCCGGTAGCATGGCTGCTTATGGGACTCCACGGAGGAAGGAACGTTTATTTTCACTGCAACCTCTTGCAGGGGCTGAAGGGTCCCCCTAAAACTCACGTCTATCTGGACCCTCAGAATGTGACCTTCATTGGAAATCACGTCTTTGCAGATGTGACGGACGAACTCACCCTGGATTTAGGGTGGGCCCAAATCTAATGACTCGTGTCCTGATAAGAAGACAAGGGGACACACAGAGAGAAGGACATAGAGGCAGAGACTGAAGCAATGTGGCCACAAGCCACAGGACACTTGAAGCCAAGAGACACCGGAAGAGGCAAGGAAGGATTCTTTCCTGGAAGCTTCATGGGGAGCCTGGCCTTGCTGACAGCTTGCTCCTAGACTTCTAGCCCACAGAACTGTCAGAGAATAAACTGTTGTTTCAAGCTACCAAGTTTGTGCTAATTTGTTATGGCAGCTCTGGGAAACTCACTCAACCCTCAGCAGCTTCTGAGTTTGAACCGTGTGTGTGGGGACTGTTACCCACATCATAGTGAACCGAGGAGCAAAGTGTTCTCCAAAGACTCAAGCCCGAGACATGAAAGGGCCCCTCACCCTGAGCACAGACCACCCCCAACCTTGCCAGAAGGATGACAAGGACAGCATCCTTCCGACTGAGACAGGAGACACAAAAGGGCCAGGAAGAGGGACCCAAGCAGGTGAGTCACACGTCACAGACACCACCAGGCAGCATAATCAGTTTCTTTATTTTGCTGCTGCCCCCCCCCCCTTTTTTTTTTTTTTTTTTGGCTCAGTGGGACAAGTACTAAACAAATAATCTACTCCCTACCTCTTAAATGGCCTGTTTGGCTCTGTTTATGAAATATTCATGACAGATGCCAACACAACGGCAAAAGGAGAGATACCAAATCGGATTCTGCTTGGAGGAAAACCAAAGAGGAGCATTTCCCAAGTATTGTCCTGGGCTTTCGATGAACTGGCTTAATGTTGCTCACAGGACAACACAAAGCTGGGGTCCCCTCACCTCCATGGGGCTCTGCCAAGCCCCTCAAAACCCCCCAGGGCCCATCTAGAATCTCAGTGTGCATCGCTGGCACAGAAAGGCTCAGGAACCTTCTACAGGTGGCGGGAACAGCGCCTTGGCCCCAGCTCCCAAGGGGGAGAACATGTTGGAGGGCAAGGCGGCAGGATGCAGAATATCCATTCAAAGGCAACTCACATTCCTTGGCTCATGGCTTACCCTTCCAGAGAGCAGGGCTGACTGTAACCCCAGAGCCATGAGAGAGAAATGCTCGAGGGGGCAGTCCATGGTATCTTTGCTCTGTACAGCATTAGTGTCCTAAAGCGCCTGACGGCCGGCCAGTGAGAAGCAGTGGACCCCAAGCGGCAAGACAATCAGCTCCCGGACATTTAGCTTCCTGGAAGGATCTGTTCCTCATCTACTCCCCTTTGTTTTCTTCTCGCCTGAATGCTTATGATCTAAAGATTGATTTATTTACTCTAGAGAAAGAGCCTGAGCGGGAGGGGCAGAGGGAGAGGGAGAATCTCCAGCAGACTCTGTGCTGAGCACCGAGCCCAATGAGGGACTAGACCTCACAGCCCTGAGACCGTGACCTGAGCAGAAACCGAGAATCAGTGCTGCACGGACTGCACCACCCAGGTGCCCCGAATGCCTAAATATAAGCAGGTGAGTTTTAGTTTAAATTTCCTGGCTCCCTCGCGTGCCTCATCTGCAGGAATGACTCAAAGCAAGTTTTTTGAATGAAACGAATGCCCACCTGCCCACGCACTCCCCCTCCCCTGAACATACCTCTCTACTAATTTGGTTGCCCATGTCTGTCCCCTTCTAGAATAGGCCCAACCATCTCCCTATGCACACCTGAGCTCTCTTTCCTGTTTCAGGTACAAGCCCCAGGAAAGAAGGCCACCTCCACCTCTCCCTTGTATGTTAGGCTAGAATGCAGCAGGGACTTGGTAAACGTCTGTCCCCTCCTAGTTGCCCTGCAGCCCTGGAGTGGGGACGTGCACATGGTTGGGTGCTGGGGGACAAGAGCACTCCGAAGCCACCTCTCTACAATTTCATCTTTGAGAGAAGATACGCAGCAGTTTCTAGGCATGGTAAAAGAAAAAAAACAAAGGCTCTTGGGAACTATGAGTAACTCGAAGCAGAGGTGATTTCCCATCCTGCGTAGGCAAGACACAGAGCACTGAGATAATGCCTCTTTCCCAGAACAAATGGTGTGTTCACTCCGAGGTGTGTTCCATGACACGTGGGCCTGGGCACAGCTGCGAGGCTCCCGTGTCCTACCCACGAAAAGAGCGCTCTCGGGAGATGTGCCAACGTGACAGACACTTCCAACAGAATACAGACAGGAATGCTGGGATGCACGGGAAACGAAAAAGACAGAGCGTTCACGTGGACACAGGCCACCAGTCCATTTCTGCTCCATGTCCTCTGGGGGACCACTGACTTTTTGCTGGGACCAGAATGGATGAGGATGTGGTGTTCCAGAGGACCACCTCTGCTTTTATTATGGGTGGAAATGTGTAACCATAATCGTACTGAGTAATTATGTTCATTTAGCTACTATAGAAATGACAAGGACAAGAAAAGCCACACAGAGTGGTCACTGGTACCAAAAAATTATTAGGTAGTGAGAGATTAACTTTCATCTTTTCCTATGTAAAGCAAGCTATTTCTATTTAAAGCATGTGAATCAATTCTTTTCCACTGAAAATCCACAAGCTTAACTTTTTTAAGCCACATGGCTACGGTCTCAAGATTTTTGCATATCCACCACCTTCTGAGCTGGAACTGTACTCTTTAACAAGGAAATACTCCACGTTCTGCAACAGTTAACTGAAAAATGCTATTCTGGTTAAGAAAGAGAACCACTTTAGGCCAAAGCCAGATGTGCCATTTTTCCATTCACTAGGGGGAAAAAAATGTGAGACAATTCTGAATGCAAATACAAAATGTAAATGGTCATATATTTAACTGCAAACAATGTGTTAATACACTCACTCCGTGCAGTGCACCAAGTATAACCCTGAGAGGGGAAAGACCCAGAGCCCCGAGGGCCTGGGGACATTAACCCTCACCTGGCCTCATGACGGTCACAGCCATCTGCCCAGCAGTGTCCTCCGCCCGCTTATACCACACACCGCTGGGGCTGGGCAGCCACTCCTCCACGCGGCAGCTGTAGGTCCCGCTGTCCTGCACAGCGACGTTCTGGATGAAGAGTCGGTACACGCCAGGGGAAGGACTCTCCAAATGCAGCCGCCCCTTCAAGTTATTTCTGGCTGCCTGCTCCCCGTAGTGGAAGGTAGCCTCGCGGCTCAGGCGGGCCACAGTCTCCCGCTCCGGGTGGTTGGGCTTCCACACAAACCACTCTACCAGGAGCTGGGAGGCCACGCTGGTGCGGTTCAGCACCACACACTCGAGCTGCACCTGCTGCGTCTCCAGGATCGACAGATTCCCCTGCGCTTGGCTGAGCCTCAGGCGGCTGTCTAGAAAGGTGAGAAAAGACATATTAGCCTCATGGAACAACAGGCAACTCGCATGCACCCTTTCCATGTGCAGGCCCATGGATGCCTTCCACATACTGAAGGGCAGCGGCCTGCTCAGTTAGCAGAAAGGTCTCCAGGCTGTGGCACCCCACACATTCTGAGTCCCTTGACCATGTACCTGAGTTCACAGACTGCAAGCAGTCATGGAAACAGATGTCCCCCAGTTTCTATCTCATCAGTTCAGATGCATAGGAGAGGACAAGCACGAGGTACAGATGACTCCACACCCAAATGAGAGCAGCCCATGAGCCTATGGGTGACCAGCAGGGCTGGCTGGGAAGGGCCAAGCAGATGAGGCCATAGTGAGATCCTCTTTCAAACCAAGAGCAAATTTTGAAAACTGAGCACATGACAGTTAGAATATGCTGGACCATCTACCACAAAGAACTGCAGACAAGACAAATATGTTCCTGAGTTGGCTCTACAAATTGCAATTCTTACTTTCTTGGGTTCCCTCTCAAAGTGAGAACAGAACAGATCTGACCTTAGTAAAGAAACATCTGATAGTGAAGGAACCAGTGACTTGAAAACTCACCCGATCAGATTCTCTTCCAGAGAAAAAGTGTCACTGATGATGGTATGTCCTGATGACATGTGTGTTATTTCATAAAAGGTCCTGATGAGTCTATCTGGACCAGGGGAGCCAAAAACCTACAAAACTGTAAAAGCACAGAAGCACCTGGGGAAGGACACCTCCTGAGTGACACCCAAGGTGAGGGTGGCATGCACGAGCAATTTTTACTCTTTTTACACTTCAAAACTGTCGGAATATTTTACCATGCAATTCAGTAAGTTTTATAATTAAAAGGTCAAACAATTAAAATAACAGAAAAAAGGGGCGCCTGGGTGACTCAGTTGGTAAAATGACCAACTCCTGGTTTCGGCTCAGGTCATGATCTCAGGGTCATGAGACTGAGCCCCAAGTTGGGCACCACACTCAGCACAGAGTTTGCTTGAGATGCTCTCTCTCCCTCTCCCCCAGCCCTCTCCCCTCACTCATTCTCTCTCAAATAAATAAAATCTTAAAAAAAAAAATAGAAAAAATATTTTATTTTTTTTATTTTTTAAAGATTTATTTATTTAGAAAAAATATTTTAAATAACCAGTCTCCCAAAAATATACATATATGTGCGTGTGCGTGTGTATAAGGCTATTAACTCTGGTGGTCTCTAGGTTGAAAGATTATTTTCTTCTCTCATTGTGTGTTTTCCAAAAGCTCTATAAGCATATTCTTTCTCATCAGGTAAAGAAGGAGAGGGGTGGTACGTAGAGAAAAAGAACTGGAAGCAGAGGAAGAAGAAAACAACAAAGAAACAAACCCAAAAAAACACTGAAAAGGAGGGATGTGTTGTTTGAATCAGCATCCTGTGAGTTTTCTGTTTATAGTGCTGTATTCCCACCAACAGAGATCTCACTAACTGTGTTTTGACAAAATCCGTGCAGCCCTGTGTGTTGGCCCAGTTAGCTTGCTGTAAGTCTGTAGTCTCAGATGGGGAAATTCCCTCGATAAATTTAGGATCCACTGAGAATCTCTTCGTTTCTGCACAAATGAGCAAAGGCAACGCTGATGAATGGTGACTAAGAGGGAACTCGAGGTGGGCGGGGATCATGTCCTCCCAGCAGAGAAAGTGACCCAAACTGAAAACAGGCAGGAAGAACAGAAACCTAAAAGAACATCTGTGGGCCAAATGACAACTGTCAGTTTTCAAAAGCCCCAAGGACCAGCCTGAGGTCTCTGGAAAAACCAAGAGGGATAATGGAGACCAGAGCTTCCTTCGCAATGCACCCGCAAAAGGGTCACAGAAGTATCACTGTGAGGGGCTGAGAACCCTGCATTGGGGCAGTCTCAGCAAGACAACATCCCAAGAGAAAAGAAGGGGAACCGCCCCAATGCACTCAGTGTGGGCCAGGCCACGTCCTGGCCTCTGCCTCTGGTTCCATGCGCTGTCTGAACAAAGATTTACTGAGGGCCCTGGGAGACAAGCAGTGGGAACAGAAAGGTGAAGAATATATCCACACACATGCACATATTTAGTTCTACATATAATACATACTATCTGATAATAAATGCAAATAAATAAGCAGTTCATAATTACTCACGTACAAATAGGTAAATAAACAGAATGCCAGGTGGTGATGTATGCTGTGCAGGGGACAGGGAAACGGGTACAGGGTGACTAGGGTGCTAGTTTAGTTAAAATGCACTAGGAACACCTCTTTGATGAAGAATGAGATCAATGAATATCTTTGGTCAACGTGTTCCAGGCTAAGAGAACAGTAAGTACAAAGGCCCTGGGGTGTTTGAGGAAAGCTGCCATTTGTTTCTTATTCATTGAGTATTTATTAAGGGTGCCATACCAGTGGCTGACTATACAAAGACAGAGCCCTGCCCTCAAAGTACTTAAAGTATAGTGGAAAAGAAATGCAAACAACTAATTATTACATCAGGTATTTTATAAGGAAAAAGGAACTTCTGGTGATATTGGAGAAAGCAGGGAAGGCTTCCTATACGTGGTGCTGAGTGAAGTCCTGGGGATGGAGTGAAGACAGGAGAAGCAGGAGAGGGCTGTTCCAGGCAAAGAAGAAAACATAAATGAAGACACGGAGCTGGGACTTGGGGTGCAACAGAGCACCCTGGCCCATCAGGAAGGACAGGCTAGTGACAACAGATTACAGGCCACGTAGGAATGAGGGACGGAGAGGGAGATAAATGGCCACATCGTGTGGGCTGTTCAAAGGACCAGAAGAGTTCTTCAACAAGGAGAAAGGGAAACTGACAGGGGCACCCTCCACACGTGAAAAGATATGACCCAAACTTATTCTGGGTTGTTCCAGGGGCAGATCTAAAACCTGGAGGGGAATTAACAGGGAGGGGTTTTTCAATGAGCAGGGCTGCCCTGTGGTGGGTGGGAGGGAGTCCTGCAGAGCTCAGGTGCCTCCCCTGGTCTGTCAGGAAGCAGAATGGGGGCCCCACCCACATGCTCTGAGATGGGGGCTGAGGGGTAGTCCGCTTTGAAGATGGGAAGGAATCCCCCCTGGGTGGAAATGGGTGGTAAGAAAGAAAGGGGAGCAGAGGAGGGAGACCAGAAAGTGCCTCCCAGGCAAGAATGCTGGGTATGAAGCCGGCACCAGCCTGAGATCCAGGGTGCAACCTGAAAACCCAGAAGGAGATCCAGGAGCCGCTGGGGTCCTGGCCTCACTTCCTAGTGCCCAGCACAGCCACCCTGTGGGGCCAGCCTAGTGAGGAAGATGCTGTCCCTAACAGCAGAGCAGAAGGCGCTTTCCTGAGTTAGCCTCAGCACCAGGAGGCGCTAGGAGTCCCCCCCCCCACCCCACCCCCGCCCCCGCAAGCATGGGCCCCATGAGCCCAGCACCCCCCGCCCCCTGCTCCAGGCAGTTCCTCCATGCTAAAGCCACTGGCCTGGGACGGCCGTGCCCCGGGTCCTTACCTGGCTGCTTCACGGTGACCTCCGTGCGCCCCGAGACCTCCTCGGCCAGCTTGTACCAGGCGTAGTTGGGGCTCAGCAGCCACTCCTCCACGTGGCAGTAGTAGCTGCCGCTATCACTGACCTCGGCTCTCTGCACCGTCAGGCTGAACAGGCCCCCAGACACGTGCCTCTCGAACTGGAGCCTGGACCGCAGGCCCTCCTCCTCGGCGTAGGTGCCGTACTCAAAGGCCGAGCTGTGGGTGGTCTTCAGGATGAGCTTGCCGTCGGCATCCGAGGGCTTGTGCACATACCACAGCACAGCAAAGTGGGAGTTCTGGCTGGTCTGAGACTTGACGGAGCAGCTCAGCTGGATGGGCCTGTTCTCCACCAGGGTGAGGGTCCGCTTCGACTTGCTCACCTGCAACTTTGTCACTGCAAAGGCAAAGGGTGGGGGCAGTTCAGCGGAAGCGCTGGAAACCTGGCTGTCCCTGGCCTTGCCAGCCAGGCTATGCCCAGCACAGCTCCTGGAAGACTGAACATGGACGGGCTTCCCCCGAAGTGCAGCTCAGTGTGAGGCAAGTGGCACGGAGCTGGCTTCACCCCAACATCCCTCCACCTTCCTCAAATCACCCAGCCTCTAGGGGACTCTGAGAACACTCAGATCTGCCCAATCACTTCCTGCTTAGGAAGTTTAATGGCTCCCAACTGCTTATCGCTTATAAAGATAAAGTAATTCCTTTTCACAGTACCAAGTCCCTCCAGGATCTGGCTCTTGCCCAACTGTTCTGGCTCATCTCCATGACTCACCCCTCCAGCAACCCCACCCCATCCCACCACACCGCTCCCCCAGTCCCTCTGCACCTTTTTTTTTTTTAAGATTTTATTTATTTGACAGAGAGCGATCACAAGTAGGTAGAGAGGCAGGCAGAGAGAGAGGGGGAAGCAGGCTCCCTGCTGAGCAGAGAGCTCAACATGGGGCTCGATCCCAAGACCCTGAGGTCATGACCTGAGCCAAAGGCAGAGGCTTAACCCACTGAGCCACCCAGGTGCCCCAAGCACCTCCTCCTTGAGCTCTGGTCTCTGCCCCTCTCCTTCCACCATCTCCCCTCTGGCCCTTCTGCGCATTCTTCTCTCCACTCCCCCTTCCTCCTCCCCACTCTGGGCCGGCAGCCCCAATCGGTGCTGGCATCAGAACCCTCTACGTATCTTCCAGCTGTTTTTCCTTAGTCTCTCTTCCACCCTAATCTGTGAGCGCCCTGAGGGCAGAGATCAACCTTTTCCCTGACAGTCTGCAAATATTTCGAGTGTACTCCTCCTGAAGCTGAGTGCCAGGGATGGCCTGAAGAACACCACCATTGTGCCTAGTGGACGGTCTTATCATTACACCCCCCAGAGGCTGGCACAGTGCCTGGGCTTCAGAAAGTACGTGCTCAGTGTCTGCTGGGATCTGTGGGGGAGAGCATGCCCGAGAAATGTGGTAGCAGGCAGTCGGAGGATTGCTGGGGGTGGTCTTCCTGCGGGCAGAGACGGGGAGGAGGCCGAGAAGAAAGTGGCGAGCAATGGGACAGAATGGAGCTAACTCCAGGGTCCTTCCCCTCGCTGCCCTGCTCCAAAACCAGAGGAAGGGCAGATTCCACAGTGCCACCCTACCTGCTAATTAAGGACTGGGCTCACCTTTATGGTGGCAAGAAGCCAAGGTCTAAGGAAATACATCTCATGAAGGTAATATGGGATCATAACCACTCCACCCTTATTACACCTGGCTCTGCTTACTCTCCTACCCACCATTATCCCCCTACTGAAAAGGTTTTAAAAAAAGGAAAAAGACACAGCTCCAAGTTCCTCCTTGGGAGCTAACAGTGAAAGCAGCTTTTCACACCCCAACTGAAATTTCTGAAAGTCCCAGACCGTCATTTGGACACCTTGGTCACGCATAAATCAACATTCTGGATGGCAGAGAGGATTCAGCAAGCTAAGGGACGGTGGGATCTAATACCCAATGCCATTACTGCAAAAGCAACTCCAATAACGAGTAACTCAGTGTGAATTAGGAGACACTATTCACGAAGGACTGCTAAATTCACATTCCCACAGACCTTCCTAAGCCATTAAGAGCAAACCAATATGAGTGGCGCCTGGGCGGTTCAGTTGGTCAAGAGTCTAACTCTTGATTTTGGCTCAGGTCATAATCTCAGGGTCAGGAGATCAAATCAAGCCCAGTAAAGGGCTCCATGCTGGGGTTGGAGTCTGCTTCAGATTCTCTCTCTTCCTCTCCCTCTGCTCCTCCCTGCCCCCCACCTCTTCCCTCTCTCTTTAAAAAAAAAAAAAACAAAAAAAAAAAACACCAATATGAGAGAGAAATCCTACGTCCCACGCCCCACCCTTCTTTTTGTCTTTTTTGTAAACAAGCCCAGTCCCCAGTCTTCTCCCTTCTTCAAACACACAAAGTCCTCCAGGGCACACAGGAATCCAGGGCAGGGTTTACCAGTAAGCTTCCCAGCTCTGCAAACTAGATGCATTTAGCTTGCCAGTCGACTTTTCAGATCCGATCCCTACAATACTTGAAACAACCAGCTCCCTTTTCATTCCCTTCCAACCCAATTCACCACATGCAAATGATATCTATATCAGCACAAATGATACCACCTGAATTATCTGGTTCTTGTCCAAAAAACTGGGTTGTTCAGTGTAGAGCAGAAAGAGGTTTAAAATGTATTATTAATTGGGGCCAGATTATTTTTGCAACTGTTACTAAGGAAACCTCAATTGCTATAGTAACTGCATATGTTAAACTGAAATCCTATGACTAAGCCTCAATTCGGTCACGTGGTCTGAGAACAAGAATCCAAGGAAGGAAGATGTTTTAAAGCATTTCCATTTTTTCTTTCCTTGCCATGTCAAAATATTGTGAAGTGTTGAAAAGCTTGAAAGAGAGGCACTTTTGAAATGTGGTGCCTGCCTGACAGGTGGGCAAAGGGTCAGCTCCTATTCTGTGCTTGGAATTTCCATCCCCATCTCAAGGGCAGGGAGGGCCTTGCCTGAAGCCCAGGAGAGCCCGCAGCCCCCATGCCTAATTAGGAAGATCTCAGGAGTCTTGTCTGGTACTGCCCTGGGCAGTAGGAAGTCTGCCTGCACCATCATCCTTTGTGGAGAGGGGGCGCAGCCCACTTTAGGATAGTAGAATTTTCTTAAAAAAAAAAAAAAAAAGATTTTATTTATTTATGAGAGAGAGAATGAGGGAGAGAGAGCATAAGAGAGGGAAGGTCAGAAGGAGAGGTACACTCCCTGCTGAGCAGGGAGCCGGATGCGGGGTTCCATCCCAGGACCCTGAGATCATGACCTGAGCCAAAGGCAGTCGCTTAACCAACTGAGCCACCCAGGCGCCCTAGGACTGGTGGAATTTTCATTGGTGTGATGACAATACCTCATAGGAGTATTGTGTAGCCTAAATGCAATGATCTGTAGAAAGTTTAGCAAGAGTTTATTTACATTTTTACTACTTCCATTTCATTTTGGTCTCTGGGTTCGGTGCCACGTTCAAAGCACACCATGAGACCCAGAACTGTCAAACAAAGTGGCAAACTTTCTACTAGACGCGTAGCCCCTGGCCTGGGCCCGGTGTTGCCTGAGAACTTGACAGAGATGCAGATTCCCAGACCGCCCCCAACCGCCCCGCCACGGACTCAGAATCTGCCTCTAACAAGATCCCTGGGTGATTCACGTGAACCCTAGAGCCTGAGAATCCCCAGACAGAGCCCCATGAGTGAATGATTTTGGGAGGGAGACAGCACACAGATGATGGGAAAGCCCGGGGCAAAGGCTGGCTTAATCCCCAGCTGGGAGTCAGCAGGAGGTAGGGGCAGGAAGAGAGGCTGGGAGCGAGGCCCCACCTGCCAGCACAGGCTCAGGTGGGTGCTGCCTCCAGGGGGCGCCTCAGGCTCCCAGGTTGTGGGCACTCCCATGCTGTGCCCCGTTTCAGCGAAGGGCGCTTTCTTTGTGCACCTGGAGAGTCTTTCCTAGGCCTTTCATGGGGCGGGATCCTGGGTTTGGCATTCTGGGAGAGGTGGCTGTGTTACAGCAAGGACAGGTGAAAGGCCCAGAGAGGTGTCTGGGGGAACTCAGCAGCCAGGGAGAGCCGCAGCTTCACCGGCCAACCCACCCATCCTGCAGACCCTGTTTTGTATGTCATCCCCCAAGCCCCCGCCCCAAACTCCTTTCTTCCATCAGTAAAGGATTTCCTTACACCCTGGAAGAGCTCTTACAGGCTGTCTCACGCTGAGGTTTGTTTTTTAAAGGCCTTTTGTTTCCTACAAAATTATAAGCATCCAAAGGCCAGGGACTGTGACCCAACCTTTGCTAAACAAATTAAGAAATGGGTGATTGAGCAAATATGTGACCGATCTTCTCTTGGAGATATGGGGATCTAAAGGAGAGGCATTTAATCCCGACTGCGACAGGAGGGACAGCACATTTCACAAAGTGTGCGACATCTGAGCTCAGCCAGCCCTTGAAAAACAAGTGAGTAGGTGTTGCCCAGGCACAGGAAGGGAGAGAGAGGGCACGCAAGAGAGAGGGGACAGGGGAGCAAAGGTGAGAACTGCTCGGCACACCACAGTCAGGGAGAGCAAGCGGTCAGTCCTGCAGGTGAGGTCAGAAAAGTAAGCCTCCACCGGTCTGCAAGGGGCCTGGGATGTGTACCAGACGCTGACCATCTGCAGCTCTCGGGGGGCCATTTGGGGCCTTGTGGGGCCCTCCGACATCAGCATCACCTGGGAACTTGCTGAGACCACTGAACCAAAACGCTGGGGTGGGGCCCGGCAGGCTGCAGCCTCACCAGCCCTCCAGCCAAGTGGGAGGCACGGTGAGTCAGAGAAGACACAGGTGTGGCCGTGAGGTGGCCGCAGGTAACCCAGGAGACAGCAGTTTCTGTACGGGGCTGCGCAGGGCCAGAGGGACAAGCGAGGAGACTCGGGTAGGGAAGGAGTGGAGGAGAGAGGAGGAACACTGGGCTTTACTAAAGATAGGTGACAGCGATCAGAACAGTGAGGCGCAGACAGGGCCAGTGGCCGGACAGCAGACGTCTGTCAAGTTGAGGGAAGCAAGTCAGGCGAGGAGGGAAAGCTATGGGAGAGAAATGAGTGTGTGTGTGTGTGTGTGTGTGTGTGTGTGTGTGTGTGTGTGTCACACCCTCCCTCAGAGAAGGAGATGGCAAAGACACATGCCAGTCAAGCAGCTGCTATACCCTACAGTCCCTCTATCCTAAGCCCCTGCTCTTCTCTCCCTTCATGGTCAGGCCCTACTTGACCCCTAGAATCTCTGGCTGGCCATATTCAGCCTGCAAGGGAGCTCTCCAGCCCCCACCCTGAACCAGGGGGAACTTCCTAAGCCACAAACAGGAGCTTACTGCTCCAGCTTGGGGCCTGCTTGGGGTT